TACGTTGTTGTTGTGCAGAGGACGGCAAAGAAATGTACCAAGAATTATAACGCACGTGCACAGCCATTGTACTGCTCGTTAAATCTTTTGTTCGTTGACGTTCCCGTAGTCGTTGCCGTCGTGGTTTTCTTGCTCCCTAATATGTATCAGCGTTTTCTCTTCATATTTGTCACTGCAGTTTGTGTGTTATTTGTTATAAAGCTGCGATGGCCAAAGAGAAAGATTTAAAATAGACTTTGATCTTACATTACAATCTTTCTTTTTATAAGAATATACTTTATAAGTATATACTTTATAAGAATATCGAAACTGAAATTTGCGAAATTTTAAGAATATTTAAAGAGTAAACCCGAGGCTGAGATTTTGAAAAGAATATAATTTTTTGTGTTAAAAATTTGTATTGGCAATACAATGATATGTTTTGAACAAAATCGTATAAAATTTTTCGTTTCTGTAAACGGCAAAACTAACCAAAAAGCAATAAAGTTAGCACTAAACGTATGTTACATTTCCAAAGGAAATTATTTGTCATATACCAGGCTTTGTTCCCCCCATTCTGGCTCCTTCTAACTTCATGGAGACACCAAATACATTCGAAAACAGAAGCGTCATACGCTATTATCTTTGAGATTATTCACAACAATATTTTCAGCATAAAATATTTTCGGCAAAAAACAAGAAAATTCAGCCTCGGCCGGAAAAACAATATTCTTATACAAAAAAAAAAAAGAGTGCATCAGCTATTTCAAGTGAAAAGAAATTTAGATTATGAAACAAATCAAAGAATTCGCTGGATGCGCACGTACCTTAATTTTCCTAAAGACGCGTTCTTTAAAGCATTCTAATAAGAATATTTCAACGCAGAATGTTTCCCTTTTTAAACTCAGTTTACCGAATACCATATTAATTTATCCATTTAAAGTAGAGCTTCGGCTTGCTCACCCAATAGAAAAAGCCCTTTCACTTCCCTGTCGAGCTTAGCTCGAGGAAAATCCTGTATTGCTGTTCGTAGATACGCTGTCACGGGAGCGCATTGAATCACTTCAGCAGACTAATCCGTTCACATGGAAATATCTACCTAAGAAAAACATAGATAAAAGAAATAAAGAGAAAGAAATATTTCTTGTACCTGCGAAGCAGTAACTCATTTTTGTTGATTTTCTTTTCTTTTTAACTGAAACAGCTGCATGTGGAAAGCGTGTCGCTCAGTCGTCCCGCGTGGTAAACGGTGAAGAAGCCACACCCAATTCATGGCCGTGGCAGATTTCTCTCCGCTACAGAGATTACCCAGACGACGGTTCTTACGGTCACGTCTGTGGCGGATCACTAATTGAGAAGGACTGGGTTTTGACAGCAGCTCATTGTGTGGAATATGATCCCTATCCTACTGCATTCAAAGTCACTGTTGGTAAGTTTATCACATAGCTGCGTCGGGGATGTGAATGGTCCGCATTCTCTTGTTCTATCTTTTTAACACGTTCCTTTCTTTCCCTTTCCTTCGATTTGCTTCAGTTTTTCCTTCCTTTTTTTCTTCCAAGCTTTCTTCCTTCCCTTCTTCCTTCCTTCCTTGCTTCCTTCTTTGCTTTCTTTCTTCCTTCCTTCCTTCCTTCCCTTCCCCCGTTTTGCTTCTAAATCCTCGCTTGGTTGCGTCTTTCCTCTCTACCTTTTCCCCTTGTTTCCTGGCTTTTC